ATTTTTAATTAAAAAAACTTTCAAAAATATTTCTATTTTATACCTAAACAACTTCTATTTCCATTTAATAAGAAAGAAAATGAAGAATAAGAAAATTAAATGCATAAAATCATAACTCATGACAATACCATTTTATTTATATATATAGATTATCTTGATGGATGTTATGTTTTGTTATCAAAAGAAAGATGAAAATATATTTAGAAATCCTACTATCCTTCATTTTCATTTTTTTTCCTCAAAATTTTTATATATCATATTATTCTTTTCCTTTTTCTAATATGAAATGACACCTTACCTCCTTTCCTTCCACGTACTAGGTCTTTTGAGCCTTTATTTTAAGTCGAAGTTTCAAACAAAGCATGTGCGTATACATGATTATATAGCATGTTATAAGCATTTAATTTTACCCTTGACCTTTTGCGTATACATTCCTTTGAATACAATTATCTTATGTAGAGAAAGTCAAGATTTCGAATGTCCCATGGAATTATAGTTCTTCAAAATTTTAAATGTACAAAAGAAAAAAAGGACAACTATATATGATATATCATGCCAAAATTATTCAGTTTTCTATTTCTTGCACTTAACTGCTAACTTGCTGCACATGTGCTATCTGATTTGTTTAGGATCTAGAATCCCCAGTTTAATAAAGTAAAGTAAGGGTAAACTCATAAATAACAAAGTAACATATAATATAGAAGTAACACATTAATTGAATTAACAACTCCATCAATACAACACAACAACAACCTAAGCTCAACTCAACAACACAAATCAACATATCAACGCTAGTACATAACTTAACAACATTGTAACTTTCCAACTTATAACGTTAACACAATTTGTCAACACGACAACTAAACAACATAACAACTTATTTATCGTCATGCATTTTAATTAAGAGATATCATACAATTAATACAGGTGAGTAGTTTAAGTAACTTGACTCTTTCAAATCAACTTAACAACACAATCTTTTTGACTTGTTAGATCAGCAACAGATTTGGATATATATTAATCCACAACACAACACAAATTTGTGAGTTGAAAAATATGCTAAGTTGATATGCTAGTAAGTTGTATAAATGTGTCGTAAGTTAGAATGTTGACATGTTAAACTGTTGTGATTAATGTTGATATGTTTTCCTTGTTGTCAGAATGCGATAATCATTTTATCATGGAGCAAGACATGATTAAGCTGGTGGACGAACATGATTTTTTGGTGCCATGTTGGTAATGATGGTATTTTTAGTAGAGATTGTTCTGACATAACATGTTTAGTTGTTGCTTGATTGATAAGTTATGATTTTATATTTTATAGTTTGAATAATTGTGTGTGACTATACATGTATATATGTTGTTGCTTCTATATACAAGAATTGTTGTATAATAATTTTAGGTGATTAGATTTATGTTTTTCAGTGTCCAATTGTTAAAATGTAAAGTGTAATGATTTGTCAAGTCATTACATTGATGATTTATTATTAATAGGGATAACAATAAGTTGAGTTAGATTTTACTAGATTTAGACTTGATCTTAGTTGAATGTTTATGAACTAAACTTAGTTTTTTTATTTATTATAGTTTTTTTTTATAAAAAAACTTGACTAAACTACATAAATATATCCACACTAGTATAAAATAATTTTAAAGGAAATATTACGTTTAGCCTGATTTACAATCGAATAAAAAATAAAATAAATAAAATGGTCTATATTTATTAAAAAAGTATTTGCTGTTGTTGTTGTTATTATATATATATATATATATATATATATATATATATATA